AGGATGGAGGGACTGACGATCCAAATGGTTTCGAATCAACTAAACGCTCGAACTTTACCGAGCAGATGACCTAGAGGTGGACTTTACTATGTATATGCACAAGAGAAAGTTTGCAGATTCGCCTGAGCCCCGGGCGACTGGCCCAGAAGATGTGCCGAAACTTGAGCGGTGGTCTGGCCGAGAAAAGGGGCGCATCCATGGTTTGCAATGTCTAAGACGGTTCAAGGGAAGAGCTGACTTCAGGTCTTATAACCATTTGGCAGGGCACCATTCGGCACAATTGGAGGCCCGAAAGCAAACGCACGCTGTTCCACCCCCATGTAAGCGGAACATTTGCTGACTGGGATCTGCGTGGATCCAGAATCTCAGATGCCTTTTGGCTTGTGCTAACAGGAACTGGCTGGGCCCCATACCAACGGGTCAGAATACTGCGGGCAAAACCAGTTCACACCCAATTTGATCATCGGCTATGGTGGATGTTTGGCATTCGCTCCGACAACAATCTAGTAAGAAGCACCGCATACTCTGTTGCCGTGCATGACATGTGCTGCTTAGCCAGCAACCGTGCTGCGGAATTGGTCAAATTGCAGTGAGTATGTGCTGTTGCTTTTCAATTGCTCGCAGTATTGCCTGGATATGCGTCCCCTCCAGCAGGTGGTAGCAACAGCCAACTACCGTCGCAGCACGTTGTGAAAAATGTCACACAAAGTCTATCATGCAGCTGGCCAATGCTGATGCTGCAGGCTAGGTTTGCGATTCTGGCAGCGGCGATCTGCAAAGCCGGCAATGCGGCGTTGCTATTTTGCTACATTATTCTTGAATTGTGATACGGTTCACAGCAAGCTGTTTCGGCGGTTAGGGGCGTTGAGGGCTGAGCGTAGTGAAGATTCAAAGCGGATGGAATGAGGACGTTCAAATGCGTTTAGCCAACCCTACATTGGCCACTGATTCTGAAAAACACTCATGCAGCTGGTAGAGAACAACATAAAGCTGTGAGCACCACAGTCTCTGCCGAGTATATGCCACTTGTGCTGCGGCCTCGCATTGTCAACAACTCCTCAATTGAATTGATCGGCACGGGGGTAATTCCAAAGTGAATGCTGGGGGCATTGGCTCAAGCTAAGGCTGGAAGTACATGCCAAAAGTTGCCAAATGGGAGTCATCCCAACACAAATGACATCCCACAAAAAGGGTGCGGAATAATTCCACGAAACATATTCTCCCTCATGATTAGGCTCTACACTTTGGGATGTAGAGCTTTGTGGTGGAAAAGCAGTCCCTGCTCATCAGTCTTCAAGGGCCGCATCTGAAGATTGTGTTGATGTGGGGGAATGAAAATGCAATCCTCTATCTCAGCAAAGTACAGTCAAGAATACCATCAGTAGCAACACTCTGATCCAAATGACGAAGAGCTCTACTTCCAAGTACGCAATCACCCAACAGATCCCCAAATCAGGCCGCCAAGCCGCCAAACCACGACAAACTTGTGAATTGAAATAAACACTTGCTGACTTGCGAAGGTCACTGTCCCAAAGTTCCGAGGACCTGCGCTAGAGCCCATTCAACCCAAGGAAACGACTTGCCCATCCTGAGTGCAGCAACCCTGGCCTCAACTCCGGGATTCTTCCGGCCTGCCATTGCGCCCTCGAAAACTGGGGGGATTGCGCCTCTCCACCCAAGCAGTGCAGTTTTCCCACAGCAAAAGTTTGGGGCACCAGGATCTCGCCTCACAACTTGGATCTGCATCACATTCCGCGAGTCTTAGCTCTGACCGGGCCCGCGTTTTTTCAGCCAAGCCCAAAATGGGCTGGACGAAAAGCGGGCGACAAAAAGCGCACACTACTCACATTACACATGCACATGCACATACTCACATACTCACATACGCATACACACATGCACATACTCACATACACCTGAAATTCCGGCCAATCCCCCGAGATGCCTGGTATGAAGGCGGCGCCACGCCAGCCGCGCCGCTCACTGAAAAGCGAAAGGCGAGACGAAAGAGTGGATCGGCTGGGTGCGAGACAGGAGTTGAAGTGCTTTCAATGGCCAAACCTGAATGGTGTTGAAGAAGAGAAGTGCAATTCAGCAAGGTGAATGATGAGTTTGTTTCTTTTTCCAACGCGGGATACACCTAATAACAACATGCTTCTCAGTCACGGTGTTCTGTCAACGTGTTCAAATACGATCATCTACTTCGCTTCTTGCCCTTTGATTTGGTCCGACTGCATTTGCTTTCGCGGCCTCTGACCTTCCTTGTCGTCGCTAAGGGTCATCGAAACCTTTTCTTGGACCGACGCTCTCTTGACATGACTGGCTCGTGTTTTTGAAGGTAGGCCCCCCACAAATGGCGGTGTTCCTGGTCGTGTCCCTTCTAAAGCCATTAAAAAAGGGGGTGCCCACAAAAAGGACAGACCCATGCTTTTGCTTCACCGGCCAGGATCAAGTCTGGTCTCACTGGGACTGGCAATGCCCGACTCAAACGCGGCCGACGATCAAGGTCTCATATCGGGCAAGGTGAATTAATAGCTGCTACCCTTATTCTGCATAGCCGGCTAAAGCTTTCCGCTTCTTTGTCCCCAACTCATGACATGATAGCTCTCCAGGAAGTGGCAAACACACATGCAAAACTGCCAAGCAGTTTCGTACCAGTCTACTGTTTGGTGCCAATGGCCGTTCCGTGGCTCTCCATTCTGCAATATCGCAGTGCAAGAAGCAGCATAGCTTGCTTCTTTGGTCTCTGGTTGCCGGGGCATGCAGTGCCTGTGCTTGCCAGTGGTGACATGATCCAACGCGCTCAGCTCGACCTGTCAGAATGCTGACCCCATAGTTTTCAACCCTACAGGGGCTGTCCCTGGGTTTGGTGGTTGGAACCAACATCATTTTGGGGGGGAACACCCCCTTTTTTGGTAAAACTGGCGTTGGATGGACGAAATCCATTTCGCACCACTTTGAACCCTGGTTGAAACCATACCGTTTGTTGGTATCTGCAGGGGAATCATCATTCCATGGTTTCTAAACGGTGGTGCGAAATGGATTCTGTCCATCCACAGCCACCGTTCAGAAACCCTGGAATGATGATTCCCCTGTAAATACCAACCGACAATGGTTTCAACCAGGGTTTCTTGGGTGCAAAATGGCTTCTGTCCATCCACATCCACAAAACCCGCGGCGTGATCAACCCCCCGCTGGGCGGCCTCCGGCCAACCGCTCCGACGCCGTGCCGCCAGGCCATGGCCGCACGGCCTGGCCAGACTCTGCACAGACGCCGGCGAGGCCCAGCGAGCGGCGGTGAGGGTGAGGTCCATCCCTCGTTATTCTAGGGCTGCCTTCCTTGCTCTGGTGTTTGGCTCTTCGCTCAACCTTATTTCCGGCAAAAAATATTCTGCAACAAGGAAGACGAGGTTCAGTGGCGCAGAAGAATCCCATGCTTTCTAGGGATCCCTCTTTCTAAAGAACCTCCAGAATCCCAGGGAAAACGGGTCCGGCGATTGAAAAGAAGGATGGTTGAAAGGAATGGGGAATCAAGCCCTAGATCTTTGGCGAATCCAGGCACGCATACCCATATACCAATCCTTGGAAAGCAGGAGGGAGTTCATGTTCATGTGCTCATGCGACATCGCCGCACTCACTGATGAGGAGTTGAGGTGGGGAATCACCAAATCTCTGTGAGCGAGAATCTTCAATCCAAAAACGGTTAAAAGTGCTTCAAGCACGTCAGGGCTTTGAGCCTGAATTCAAAATTCAAATGAAAGGGAGTCCTGAGAACCTTCAAGTGTTCTGTGCAAATGCACGAGCAACATCAGGAAATGGGATCCTAGCACGTGTAAGTGGAAATATACATATATATATATATACATATGCAGATGCGCCTGCTTGTCTATCTATCTATTTATCTATCTGTCTGTCTGTCTGTCTGTCTGTCTGTCTGTCTGTTTGTGTGTCTGTCTCTCTTTCTCTGTCTCTGTCTCTATCTCTATCTCTATCTCTGTCTCTGTCTCTGTCTCTGTCTCTGTCTCTGTCTCTGTCTCTGTCTGTCTCTGTCTGTCTCTGTCTCTGTCTCCGTCTTTGTCTCTGTCTCTGTTTCTGGTGTCTGTGTCTGTGTTTGTCTGTCCACCTATCACTCTATCTGATATCTCTCTGTCTAACCCTATCTCTCTCTCTCTCTCTCTCATCTATCCATCCATCTGTCTGGCTGCTGTTTGTCTGTCTCTGTCTCTGTCTCTGTCTCTGTCTCTATCTTTCTATCTATCTGCCTATCTCTCTCTCTCTACCTCTGTATCTCTTGGTCTCTCTCGCTCTATGCATCTAGCCCTGCATTTATGCACCTAGCAATGCTCTTATGAACTTATCCGTCTATCTCTATATATATCTCTCTCTCTATCTATCTATCTATCTATCTATCTATCTATCTATCTATCTATCTATCTATCTATCTATCTATCTATCTCTATCTATCTATCTATCTATCTATCTATCTATCTGTCTATCTATCTATCTATCTATCTATCTATCTATCTATCTCTCGATCTATCTATCTTTCTGATCTAATCTCATCTAATCTAATCTAATCTATCTATCTCTATCTCTATCTCTATCTCTATCTCTATCTCTATCTATCTATCTATCTATCTATCTATCTATCTATCTATCTATCTATCTATCTATCTATCTATCTATCTATCTATCTATCTATCTCTCGATCTATCTATCTTTCTAATCTAATCTCATCTAATCTAATCTAATCTATCTATCTATCTATCTATCTATCTATCTATTAATCTATCCATCTATCTATCTACCTATCTATCTACCCTGTGAACAAATCAATAGTCTGCCAATGCGTAGTCCATCATCAACAGGTCTCCTCATCACGCTTACCGTGTGTACGTTTCTTTTTTTCACTGCCTTTTTCAGTATTGGCATCGTTGTCATCCCATGACTGTGTGTGTCTTTACGAAAATATATCATATGTTATCACCCCCCCCCCCCCCCCCCACTGCGTCGCTCCGAGCTGGCTCCAACCAGGCGTCAAAATCAGGCTAACTTTCAAGCATCCGAAGGACTGAAACCCGCAGCAGAAGGCTTGCACTTTTCGGACATGTCTATTCCCCACTACACGGCAAGCATTTCAGTTCTACTCATGTTTGTTTTTTCCCAAGTCGTTTGTCACAGAGCTAGCTTTCAATTTGTGTCGGTAAAACGGCAGGCAGGGTGTTCCCGAAAATGCATCCCAAATCAGCCCTTCAAGATTGCCCAAGCCAACCCTAAGCCAACCGTAAAGCCGTAAACCATCCCTAAACCAACCCTAAAACCCAACCCTGAACTAACTCCAACCGAGGAGGGGGGATTGGGGGGGGGGGGGGGGTTTGGGGGCTGGGCCACATGATGTATATATGTATACTATACACACATAGTACAAAGCTCGATCATCATGTGTGTGTGTGTATGTTAGTAGGCAAATTCGTGTACGCACATGTGTTGTTCGATAAATATACATCTAGACACGCGTATGCATGAATTATACATAACGATGTGTATTGTGTACGCACACGTCTCACGCGCATTCGCCATCACGCCACACACACACACACATCTTTTCTCGCTCTCTCTCTCTCTCTCTCTCTCGCTCTCCACACACACACACACATCCACAAGTCTTGACAAACCCACGCATTCCATGTTTTCACATGACATGCAACTGCGCCAACAAGCGGGTGTGTCATAAAGTAGGAAACCCAAAAATGGCCGGTGTTGGTTCTTCAACATTCCCAAAAAGGGGTTCTCTAAAACGACACACCTACGTACCCTAAGGTCATCATTCCAATGGGCCAAAGGCAAAGGTCGGGCCTGCGGCTTGCCGCATCTCAGCTAACTGAACTCTTCATGGCACCATGGAGCAGCGGTCGACGTCTCCGGTGATTGAAAAGAGGACTTCTGAACTTCTCTACGTTTACATTACACACGAACCAGCAAGCAAGCAAGCAAGCAAGCAAGCAAGCAAGCAAGCAAGCAAGCAAGCAAGCAAGCAAGCAAGCAAGCAAGCAAGCAAGCAAGCAAGCAAGCAAGCAATCAAAACACACTCTGAGTCAAGTGGCTCTGCTAAGTCTGAATATTCGAAGAGTCGGTTGGCAAACTGTCTCACAACGTATTGATGTGTGCTTGCCAAGCTTTGGCGTTGGCAGCAGGGTAAGCCGTTCGTCTGCGCCAAAACGGCCGAATAGATTGTCAATGTCGGAGTGTCCGCTTCCTGGTTCGGTCTGTGCGACTCAAATGCAGTCTACCAGCTTCTCAGCCGAAAAGAGCAAGTGCATGTCACATTTGTGTGTGTTTTTACGGACCCTCCCCCCCTTAAAAAAAAGAAAGAAAGAAAGAAAGAAATGGAGTTTGTTTTTTTGATGTCCGTTTAAAACATGCTAAAACCCACCCAACCAGGGATACCATCCAAACTGGACACACCCATTTAGGGGAACGCAGGCCTGTGTTCTCACTTTGATAAGCATTGACAGGTAGCTGCTGCGATGGCTCTTTTGACCTATGAGTCGGGTTACTAGCTGATTTACTTTGAGGCCTTGGACAATTTTCTGGGCCAGTCACACCATGTGAGCGCTTTTTGGAGACAATGGCTGTGATGCGGCAGCTGAAAAGTATTGCACCTCTCAGTGCGCTGGGCATCGATATGAATTCAAGGCATCTTGATTTGCGCGGCTGGCGGCTGTCTGAATTACCCTCCCACCAAAAAACATGGAACCTGACGTTCGGGGGTCGCTGAAAAGGAAAATGGTCTTCCAGGACCCCCCTTGTCAGGTACCATGTTACTTGGCGGGAGGGTAAATGTCCGAGTCAAACCAGAGAGTGAACGCAAAGTGGCGATATCTAGCCGCAGCCTTCATGCAAGCTAAAAAACTGACGACGCCAGGAGAGGCACTATGCAATGAGCTGCTCTGCGGAAGCGTAGGGATGGAACAGCGTGAACAAGCGGCCTCAGCCGTGGCCATCGGATGCTCTCGATCGGCTCCCGCGCCGTCTACATGGGGAAGAAAAATGAGAGATTGATCATCGATTGAAGCCGAGACGGCTCTACAAAGAGTGGGACAGATTTTCGGGCAAAGCAAGAGTCCATCATGAACTCTAGAATGCTTGAAGGCTTTTTTACTTCTTTAGGTTGGATTTCCCACCTCCTCTAAGCCATCAGCGACCCTTCCGCTTTTTAACAGTTAAGAATGCGAGGGTCCAGCACGATGCCTCCACCAATCCTGGGTCGGCAAAACCTGTTGTTGAAGCCGTCATCTGAATGGGGGTGTTTATGCATTGCCGTGTGCACTTGAATAACCTGCCATTGAAGTTCCCAAGTACAGTAAACGGGAATCCCTCACCCCAGCGCGCGCAAGCTGCAACCTCCCAGCCACTTGAAACCTCATGAAGGCCCAGCACGCCAAGAAGTTGAGACCTTTTGGGCTGCTTTATGGCAAAAAGAACATGAGAGAGGAGGGACAGGATTATGAGCTTCAGTTTTGCCTTGCAGCCTGGGGTCTTGCATATCATCTTTCTGCCCACTGACAAGTCTTGAACATCCTTCCGGGTGTTCCAGGCTTATTTTTCAGCTCTGCGATAAATCGAGCCCAAAGTATTGGCAGTCATTCCAATTTTCCGCATGCCCGCGGTGAAAAATATGAACGCCATCGAAAAAGTCACAACCTAAGCCTACCTACGTTCAACATGAATTCATGCGTTGAACCACATCTCTCCTTCGCCCCAGGTGCTTCCCCTCCCGCTTGAGCGTGGGGCGTGACAGCACCGGGCCCAGCCGCCGAGTGCCCTGAGACCAATACGTGGGTGTGTCTGGTTTTGGGGAATCGGAGCCCCCGAAGAATGGATTTCGGAGTTCGGTCTTCCTCTTGGTTTCCCTTTACAACCAAGAAGTTGGATAGCCTCAAAGAAGGACGAGCCACGTGAGTGAAGGCCGTGGGCAAATGAACGACAAAACCGATCGGCAAACGCCTGGCGGGCACTGGGCGCGGGCCTTCTTTCCACGGATGGGGTATTCCAGGTCCGCAAGGAACCTGCGATGCAAATGCAGCTACAACCTCCAGGCCACCGTTTTGCAGCAAGTCTTCTCAAAAGGCCGCGCCTAAAGGCGGGACCTTCCTGATGAGTAAGTAATAAGCCCACAAGCTGCTGTGCAGATCTGTAGATCTGGGGGGAGTGGCATAAGCCCAGCTTCTGACAAGCTCTACTGGCCAACTGCTGCACGTTCATGCTGCGTCGACCAAGAAATTGTGATCAGACTGAATCTTTGCGACACCTCTCACAATGAAAGGCTTCAAGGACTTGTGCCCAAACAATATTTGCCTTCCCCCAAGAATTGGCTGTCATATTTGCTGCAGTGGGGAATTCCAGAATGCATTTGTGCAATAGCAATCCACCCGTTTCCACAAGAGCCACTAGAGGGCTGCTCAAGAAGACCGTCATCCCAAGGTGCATCCAAAAAGTTCTTCCCGGATTGTATGGTGCTCTTCTTGTACTTTTGATTGCTTGAATAAGGCTGGCCGGGGGCACAAAAGCTCATTCGTGCCGACAACTGCCCTTCAGTCCTGTCAGCAGTCGCCTCCTCTCCACCCTGCAGTGCCAGTGCTCTCGCTCTTTGCTGCGCCAGCAACCGTGCGATAAAACAGTCATAAACATGTTTTCGTTCCACAAGGTGAGGCCTTGAGTTACTGCCCGACCAGCAAAATGAGGAGGACAGGGCGTTGCTCGCACAATAGCTACATGACAGGAGCTAGATCATCCTTTTGGCTCTTAGCATTGAAACTTAGGCCGTTGCATGAAACAAGTGGCCTGCAGTTTGTTCCAGTAAGTACAATGTATGTGTGTGTGTGTGTGTGCACAGTATTTGCATGAGTATTTGTTGCATCCAATTCTTGGTTGCAGAAGCAAAATGCAATCATGAAAAAACCAGCCCCGACGGCAACACGCGGGCAGTGATTAAAGTTTCCTTTAACCTCCACAAGCTGTACTGTACATTCGAAACAATGTTGCAACTTTTGGACCAGCCTGCGGATCGCGTCTTTCACACGCCTGACTTGCACCATGGCAGGCAAAACCCCGCTTGGCATATCAGCACCCCGCTGAACGCACGCTGCTTCAACCCCTGTCAAGTGCCTTTATATTGCCACTGCCATAACATGCACCACATGGAGCTTGTACGTCTTTTGAGGCAGCGTGCTCGAATTCCCCCAACCCCTGCCGAATGTGATGCCACCCATAAAAATCTGCCAGCTCCGACATCTTCCAGTCCTGCTCACATGACTATGAATTTAATGGGGGGGGGGCCTAACAAGTTGTTGGTGGACATAAATCCCCACCTAAATGATGTCCACCAAAGGGTCCCTAAGCACAACATTCATACCCACATGGCCTCACATTCGCAGAAAAAAAGCCACGAGGCGTCACGAGGCGTCACTGGCTCACGTCACTGGCCCAGCACCTTCACCATGTAGCGGACATCGCATCCTTCAGCGTAACCTTCCAGCCGCCGGTCCCGCCATTCCTTCATGTCCGTGTCCTGCGCTCAAAGGTGCAACCCCAAAACCGGGGCCTCGGCGGTGTACCCGGAAAAAAAATACATGTGGATCCTGCGGATGGTCGCGACCTCCATAAAACGAAAACCACTTTGAAGCCCATGGGTTGAAAAACCCATTGATTAAGGTAATTTACCCTTGGGGGAATCCGAATCAGAAACCTCGGGGCTGCATAGGTGGCGTTTTATGGATGGCTTCCGCTGGGCTTCCCCGAGCCAAAGATCCGGAAAAACGCCGGCGCCGAATCTCTCAGAAGGACCTCGAGCCATTGGCTTCCCGACCCCAAGATTCCTACAGGCCATAACTGGCGGTCTCGAAAAAGATCCGGGGCGCCCCACAATGAAACAAGCTTGCCCGAAATGGAGCCAGGGACTGAAACCTGCGGTGGACGTTTGCCCCACAAAAAAACCACCTCTCCTGGAAGCCCCATCTGAGGTGCGCATCCAGCGCGGGCCTCGCGCGGCCGTTGAAGGCCTGGCCGCCTGCGAGCTGCGGAACGACCTCCGATCCCACTCCGCGGCGCAGAAAAAAAAAACGAAAAGCGGACCCCGAAGGAGCTTAACCATCATCAGGGAGGAACCTCTAGACAACATTTATAAAATTTATACTATATGTGGATCAACTTGATCCACTGCTCGGATCAAACATCATCCACTTTGCCTGGGTACTGCAACCATGTGGGGCTGCGGTTCATCCACATCCTTGGCGAGCTATCGTCTTTCGGTGCGCCGTTTCTTTGACAGGGAGCCGGATGCATTCTACACCTGAACATTGCAACTTGGAAATGGTGGTTGCAACCTGTATTTTGGTGTTGAGAAAGCCATGTTTCAAATGGGCAAAATGTATCTTTTAAGGAGCCCTGATCATGTTCAGTCAATATGGTGGTGCTTTTCCATTTCTGGCCTTTCAACCCGCGTTGAGTCAATATGGCGGTGGCTCAAGAATGTTGACCCCAGATTTGTCTGCCTTAGCGCACTCGCACCCAGGAGGGGACCGGCGTCGTTTACAACTATGAACTAGGAGCCATAAGAGAAAATTTACGGATTCTCGAGGGCAAGGGGTCTGGGGCTCCCATCCCATCCCATCCCATCCCATTTCATCCCATCCCATCCCATCCCATCCCATCCATTCCATTCCATTCCATTCCATTCCATTCCATTCAATTCCATCCCATCCCATCCCATCCCATCCCATCCCATCCCATCCCATCCCATCCCATCCACCCATCCATCCATCCATCCCGCGCGGAGGACATGAGGCCGGCCGCGCGGAGCAGTAAACTAAACCCATGTTGCGGTGCTTTCCCCTGGTTCTAGCGGGGATTCAGACCACTTTTGGAGGAGCCCCCGCCCCCATATTCATAAACTGGGGTTGATTAATCCGGGGTCACCTTGGTATAGGGAAGCAAGACAGTACCTGCGTAACCCCAGCTGTTTCATTTTGAGCCACACCCACACGTTGGCACACGACAGAAAACCGCAGCGAAAGTCCGAAATACATGGGCATGACCATCAGGGAAGCCACAAACAAATGGGAAAAGCTACCCATGATCATTTAGTGCCTGGGGACTCACCCATTCTGATAGAAGGATTGGCCCAGCGGCCGCCCAGATTCCAAAGCACCTCTGATTCTTTTGTGAGAACATGTTCAACCAAAGACGCCAACCTTTTAGCACTGAAGGCCCCAAGCCAGCTACCCTCAAGGACCTGCATCCGGCCGGGATTCGGCCATTTGCTGCTTGCGAACTTCAGAGCTGCTAACGAAAGCTTGATATGCCCTGAAAGTACACGTTCTTTAGCAGGGCCTTATAAGCCTCCTTATAAGGCTCCTTATAAGCTCCTTATAAGGCTCCTTATAAGCTCCTTATAAGCTTCTTATAAGGCTCCTTAAAAGCCTCCTTATCAGTTTCGTGGAAAAGCAGAAACATCAGGGGGCCTAGACGTGCCCCCGTGCCTGAAGCTATTATAACCCCCCCATGTCCCAAACTTTCAACCCTTTTCTTTCCCATGAAGCTTTCCCCAAAGCTAACTTGACTGAACCTCGGAAAAAACTGGTCGAAGGCTGTTCCCAAAAGCAGCTTCAACTGCAAAGTAGGACAGCCAAGGAACCGAGCCACGGTACATGTTGGGTGTATTTCTGTATTTCAATTCTGGTCCCATGTGTTCGGGCGGCAAACTTGGTTTGATGGGGATACGTTTATGAATTTATGAATCAAGTCCCTATATTGCTGGCCAAGCTTGAATCGCACTGAAATATGGGTTTCAAGGTGGGGGACACTTGATTCATCATCCTACATTGCTGGCAAAGCTTAAAGCTGCTCCTCCCACTTGCAAGTCTTGCTTTGCATGTCCCTGTCACCTCACTGCCCCAATCCCTTGGCTCAAGAGACCGCCCATCTCCTCCGGCCCAAGCCTTGGTTGAGATCGCAGGCGCTGAAAAGCTCACTCTGGCCCATCAGCAAGGCCACCTGGCGGCCGTGGCGCCGTGTTTGACGTATTTCCCGATGGAGACATAACTACCCTCCCACCAACCCTGGAAGTGCACAGACCCCTGTAGAAAGACTACTTTCCCGGCCTTTTTGCACTTCCATGTTAGTTGGTGGGACGGTAGATGGCGGCAAAGACTGCGCTGAATGACCATTCTGCAGCAGCAAATCTTTCACGATGCGAGTAATTGTAGCCAGTGACATGCAAGCAGAAGCAACACTTCACCATCAAGTTGCTAGCTGTTCCTCTACTAATGCCGCGCCTTCTCCAAATGTGCCAGCTGACACTCAAAATGCAATCACATCCATGACCTCTCCGCTTTCACTGAAACACGCCTATCGCCATTTGCAAAAAAAAGCCATCGAATATCATGAATATCCAAACCAGTCTCAGCGAGTGCAACCACAAGCCGTTCAGTCAGTCTGTGCGGAGATGGAAGCTTTGCCAGTCCAAATTTGCCCGTCTCCTTCATGCGCCCGACACACTGAGCGCCTCCTCTGCTGCGAGGACGAGCCAGTATGCCTGGCACAGGGGCTTCACGTTGACGCGCAAAGAACACTTGGACGCTGTACGAACAATGCCACACTCCTTGGGTGGATCAACAAGCTCTCAGAAGAAAGGCCAGCATTACTATATGCTTCTCTGCTGTGGCAAGGACATATATGCTTCTCTGCTTCAAGGCCTTCCCACGAAGCGCACAAACTGAGTGTGAGAGGCCAGAAGAATCCACAGGCAGGCTGTGATAGTACAATGTCATGCGCCTTGCCGCCAGCGCCCGGTCTCACTGCGATGTACTCCAAGACCATGCCACCCTCAGGGGGCACCCGTCCCACAGAAATGGCATCGGAACCATGCGATTGTTCATCGGTTTCGCTACCTCGTTTTGTGGGTGTTCCAAGCTCGTTTTCGACCTAATTCAGCCCGGCCTTTGCACATACAGGCAGTCTGTCTTTATATATATATATATATTATTGTTTTTTTGTTACTTTACGTTTCTTTGCATTCCAGAGCAGTGCCATAGCCGCCTCCCACATTGCACCACCGCTTTTGTCATCGTTTGTCCGTCTGCAAACTTGCCCCTGTCGACACAAAGGAGGGGTTCCCACACGCAAAACACATGGGTATGGGTCAAAATTAAACCAGCAGGACATGGACCGCAGAGTTTAGCCCATGTTTCTATTTACCAGGGCTTGCCCCATGTTGGGCTTACCCGTGTTTTTTTGACAACTGCGGCCACATGAACCGGAACAACCCTCTCACCTTCGCTCAAGACCGCGCCTGCAACGCCCTGGGCCCCACCGAGGTGTAGCGCTGCCAGGCCAACACGGCCGCTGAGAGCAGCTCCCCCGGCTGTGAGCTCGAGGCAGGCTGGCTCTCCTGCCGTAGCGAGCGAGCGTCGACGCGGCCTCTTGGCCTTGATTACGTGGGTCTCAACACGGGCAGATTGAACGCGGCACAGGTGATTTTTCGTTTGTTTTTTTTTGTTCTCCGGGTGTTGGGACTTTGAAGATATCGGCCATGCGCATGTTGGGATGGGCTGGACATGCCGAAAGGAATCGGCAGACCACTTAGTTCTGGTATAGTAAAATGTTAAGCATCACGGTTCAGGGAACCCATAGACCACTGAGTTCTGGTATGACCAAACGCTAAGCACAACGCTCCAGAGAACCTGCAGACCACAGAGTTCTGTCTTGTTGCTGACAAGTGCCGACGCCAACTTTGCGGGGGGGAAGACAAAAAAACGGGGGTTGCATGCTCTTGGCAAAACGAACCAGAAACTCAAGTCGAAAGTGCTCTCACCATGGCCTCTCCTGCCACACGAGCCAAGTCTTTGGAGCCGTCCGCTGAGTGCGGCCTGCACGGGCAAACATGTCCTTGAGCATGAAACACAGCCAGACACCTGGAACGGACCCGAGCCGTGAACTCAAATAAGCATTTTTATATGGGGCAATGCGGTTGAAGGTCCGAGCGATTCTCAAAGCGTTTTGTTGGGAATCACAACCCAGAGCTCTCAAAAACCTCACGAAAACTTGACGGCATGACAGCATGTTGACCGAGTCTTCAGCAATCATCAAGTCGACATTACGCATATTGTGGAAAGCGAGGTGAGTGAGGAGTGTGGAGACTCTGGCTGTTGTCCGAGCTTTCGAACACTGTGGTCCTACATCACAACTCATTTCGCCCGGAAGCACAGCAACACGTTAATTGCGGGTCCTCACAACTATGCAGATGGGTCGTTGCGTGATTGGTTATCTGCATATACCTGGAATCTCCATGACCCTAAAAAAACGGGGGTCATTACCCGAAGTTTAAGGGGTCATGGACCCATTTTTACGGGTCGTGAAGACTCTAGGTAGTAGTATAGTACGTCTATCCAAAGTTGCCATGTTCGAGAAGGAGCTGGCGGAGCGTACTTCCCATCTTATTTTTTACCCTGACATGTTGCGACTCGCAAGCTGGAGGTGCGCGCGAGGCCACGTCGAGTTCCAAGCTCGATATTCGAGCTGCAGCTGCGAAGGCGTACATTGCGCACTGCTTTCGTACTCACAAGCTACACTTTCCGAGAGCACGCTGCTTACCACTTTCACAATTCAAGTTGCACCTGGCAGAGTGTTCTTTGCGTGCTACTTATGAGTTCCGAAACGCAGCTGGTAAAAGATCCGATTTTCAAATACAAGCTGAGGAGTGCCCTTCGCGTACTTAAAAGTTGCAATTTCGAGCATTCTATCGGCTTCAACCAGCTTCGCTCGACATCGAGAAACACGATAATCTGCATTGGCATTCTGCGGGCGTTGTCCGGCTTCACTCCAGCTGCGGGAGTACACTTTGCGAAGCTGTTTCGAATTAATAACGGTTGCACGTGTTGCTTCGCAGATAAAAGTTCGCTATTTGAGCTGCAGCTGCAAAAGTATGCTTCGCGTGTCCATGTTCGTACTCAGAAGTCGCATTTTCCGCGCTCCAGCTGCGGAAGTGCACTCGCGTGCTGCTTCCGTTCTTGAAAGTTAGGGTGCTCGAGCTGCAGCTGGAAAAGCGTACTTCGCGCGCTACGTTCGTGGCGACGAGTTGCTGTTGCCTGGAAATCGGCTTCACACACTCGCTCGGAGTGACAAATGGCGATTTTCATACTTCACTTACTACTTTGGTACTTACAAAGTTGCGATTTTCCAGCCGGAGCCTGTTCGCTAATTTGCACAGCGCCGGTACTTGGAAAGCGACAGCGCAGCAAAAGGCGCAACTCCACAGAGGGCGCGCCAAGGTCTTCCCATGGCGCCACAGGCAGAGCACACCGACGTCCCACGATCTCCGCACAGGGTTTGGCCGCGCTCAGGACACAGTCGGGCGGCGAGAGCGCATCGACGTGCCCCTATCTCCGCAGAGGGTTCGCCGAAACCCAGACGCATTCGCACAGCGCCACAGCGAGAGCGCTTTGACACGCGCGATATCTCCCAGAGGGGTGCGGTTCGATAGCTTCCGTCCGGCCTACGGCTGCAGAAAAAGGAGAAGAAAAGAGAAGGTGCAAAAGAAAAGTTCGCTTGTGACTTTAGGATAGTAGAAGAAAGCTCGAAAAGTTGGCAGGAGAAGTTGGCAGGTGACGTATATAACTCTCGAAAAGTTGGCAGGATGGCGAGAAATAGTTGGCACTTGTCAAAACCAACCGCATCCTAGCCAGTTTGCTTTGGGCACAAGGCCCCGCGTCCAAGACTTTCATCTCTAACAAGCTCGTTTCTGACAGCTGACAGCGCCCGGACTGGGACTCGGAGCCTTTCTGGATCGCGGAGCCCAGGAGCTCGCGGATGGTGCTCTGCGAGGTGTCGTGCTGGAACGCCTCGAAGAGCAGATCCTGGGCCTCGCGCAGCCGCGTTCGCAGCGCCCCAGCCGGCGCCGCGAAGCTGAAAGGTTTGAGCTGCACAAGTGCGGCCGAGGTTGTCTCATACACATGCTGCCTGAGCCACAAAATATGAACAGGATCACTGTGGACTACTTCTAAAGTAGAGAAGTATGTGGACCTCTGATGAACCTGAGTCATCTTCCCGATTGACACGAGTCCATACTTCTCTGCATCTGCTCTTCAGATCTTTGCCCCTAGAACAGCGCCTGTTGCAAATCTGCTGCCCCTGCTATGGCACAAAAAGCGTGGCAAGATCAATTTCCTCTTACAGGGACCATTTCTGAGCTGCCATGTTAGTGGGAGAGAGGATATATTCTTCACCATCCTCACCACATTCACACCGCATTTCATACTTCAAGCGCAGCTATCTCCCACTGATTCCCGGGAGGTGTGGCCATTCCCAGTTGGGCAGTCCGTTGTCCTGGTCTCAGACAAAGCCCAGCCGGGCGTCTCTTTCTTCGAGGGCACCCCTTTTTGGTGAAAAGGAACACCACCACCTTTCGTGGTTTTAGGGGGAAAACTACAAGGAGCACCACCAACTTTCGTGAGTTTTTGAAGGACAACCACCCAACTACAAGGAACACCACGTTTTGAAGGTGGAACTACAAGAAACACCACCCACTTTCGTGGTTGTTTGGAGGACAACTAGAAGGAACAGTACGTTTTGAAGGGATTTTCGCGCCGAACTTCTCGCGGGATTCTTTTTTTTTGGGGGGGGGGAAAACGAGCCCCACGCCGGGGGGGCGGTCCTCTTGGCGCCGCTCTGCCAGGGCCATGGGCGCCGCAAAGATTCGCGGGGAGGCGGAGCTGAGGGCGGAGGAGGGGCGCCAGAGGTCCCAGCAGCCCGGCGGCAGAACTTGTGGCCTGGCATCATGGAGCCTGGGGTGGGGGAGGGGAGGTGGGGATGGGGGCTGGAGGGGGGGCGAGGGGCTGGGGGGAGGGAAGGGGGGGGAGGCTTTTTTTGGGCTCCCCTTGCTGCCATGACAGTCTCTTCGAAAATCGTCGCAAGGTGACATAAGCCCTTGTTTTGGCCTGATTAAGGCCTTAAGTGCTTATTTGGGCTCCCTCCCCTACCTTCCCAGCCCCCCACACGACCACACGATAGTCTTGACTGGGTCCATGAAAGGAGGTGACATCAAATCAAAATGACCTGAGCTTTTTTGGTGGCTGCAAGGGAAACACCCCCAAAGTAATTTGGAGAACCCAACAAAATGTTCACTTTAAAGTACCGGTGTGACTGATTACAGTCCGGGAAGCTTCTCAGGATTTCTGTGGCAAGGTAGCCAATGAACGGGATTTTGGTCTGAGAAGGGCTGAGGCTTTAATGATTGCTCCCTTCGACTTTCTGCGTGGGCTTCCCTGGTTAACATGCTCGGCAAGCTCGCGCAAGGCGATTTGTCTCAAGCTCAGTGTGGGTCGATCGTGGTGCCGCGGTGGCATCCCTCCCGCAGGAGCCGAAGTGTCGCAGGGCAGATGGAAAGATTGATCATCTGCATGGGCCTATGCCGCCATCAAATACCAAATGCTGCCGCGTGATCCAGTCAGGATATTCTAGGATGAGTTGCAATCAAAGAACCGCGGAGAACTGGAATGCTACATTCACCGTCACTTTCAGGGTCTGTATTTTTGTGCTTCAGCAAGACAACTTGACCCGGCCAAGCTTGGCAACGACAACTGCAGAAAGTCCAAACATCTACTCTCTATAGCAGACAATCATGGAATACCCCAGTGGTTTGTTTCTTTTTCCAGGCTACGTTTGTTGAACTCCGGTACCACTGTTTTGGGGGGGCCGTGCACTGTCATGAGACTCAAAGACGGCTCACCCCGCCTTCCCCCCGCTTCCGACTCCACTTTCCCGCCTGCTTTCGGGCAATGAGCAAGGCCTGCCCATGCGCGACAAAGCGCCAGGGGCCTTCACAGAGACCAACGCCGTGTGGGTCTCCTTCCTCGGATCTGTCGCTGGGTTGTGGGAAATGACCGATACAACAAGAAGGGCTTCCTGAAGACTAAGCTCGAGAGATTCCCTGTGTCACAGAAGTGGGGAATAAACCCCTTGATCCCACAACCCTGATCTGTCGGCAAGTCTGGTCATCTTAGCGCTGGATCAAACCAAGGTACAACTCATAGATTCACAAACCAAAGCACACAGACTCTCGTCCACTAATGTTCTCCAAGGAGCCGGCTGCAAGTCTCCCCAATCATGCAGCAAGTAAACTTGGCATCCTTCCAATGTTCAAACAGGAGCCTGTCCACCACGTACCATCTGCGGCACACATCGCAGCCAATATGCAGGCAGACACCTGACCGAGGCAGCAACGTCCCTTCACACTCGGATTTCTTGACAAGTCCCACATCCTTGCTATCGGTAAGAAGCGATGCAAGTCTTTCCGGCAACACATGGGTCACCTGTGAACCTGGAAAAATATGCGGGCTTTTTCTCTGTGGTCTAATTTGGAGCAAAGAGCGGGTGTGGTGACGACTTGTCTACGTCGACTGTGATTCTTACTTAAGTAAACAAATGTAAACTACAGCCCCACCTGCTCATCTAAGCCACAAATCAGAAAAGAAAGCTGTGGCTTGATCGATGAGGCACAAATCGCGATTGCAATATTGCAATGAACATAACAAACACTGCTAACCAATGGTGTTGCTTGACGTGACCCCCGCTTCGTGGTTGTTTTCCGCTGTCCCGCTCGCCTTGCTTCTCCTTCGTTGGAAGGCTGCGCTTCTTCCCACGCTTCTTCGGGGGCGTGTTGTTGGAGGAGTCCGACATGGGAGATGCAGAGCTGCTTGGCACATCCTTAGATGAGCTACCAGCGGAAAACGCGCTTTGCATTCCTTTGCTAGCCTATTGGAAGCCCTGGAAGAGAAAGAACTCCGTTGAAGATTGCAACTTGAATTGCACACCCACCACGAACATGCAGAAGGTGCGTTCAACTGCACACTGCACACACCTGGAAAAATATGTGGTCAGTGTGCTCAACAGCACACCCGGTCATAATGTGAAAGGTCACCTCTCGAGGGCTATTGGGGGCAAGCATGAATCCATTCCTTGCTCTAAGTGATTCAGCCCAAACTCCACATGTTCAAACGCATGTAACGGTAGTCTTGACAGTGGGAGAACGGAAGTTGCCGATTGCCGACACGAGACTTGCGCGGCAAAGTAACTACATGCATCTTGCAGCAGCGCCAAATGGCACCAGGCACGAAACCCTCTCACACAAATATCAATTCTACGAAGTGCTGCTTGAGTTGCCACGATCCGTGGTGTATCCTTCTGGGACCCTTGTTTGCTAAACCTACATATCTTTGATGGAAATGAGTCGTGCACAAATGGAAGGATATCTTGCCAATCACATCTGCTTGAAGAAGTCGTGGCTTTGCTGCGACCCCGTTTTACAGCTCATGTTGGAAATACTCCATGCGGAGTGCCATCGAATCCACTACATGCCCAAGCATGTTCCAACTCAGCCAAAACAAGGAAGATTGGCAATTCTTTGCACCGTCACAATGCTGTTGCTGGCATCAATAAAAATACCCAGAAACGCAAAATCAACAGTCCACATATGATATTCAATATTCTGGGACCTCCGTGCATCTCAACAACTCAGTGCGCATATTATTCTTCGTCGGTTCCATCTTATTGTTCTTATCTTCGTCGTCTTCGTCGTCGTCGTCGTCTTCTTCTTCTTCTTCTTCTTCTTCTTCTTCTTCTTCTTCTTCTTCTTCTTCTTCTCAACAACTCAGTGTGCACATTCTTCTTCGTCTCCTTCCTCCTCCTCCTTCTTCTTCTGAGTGATTGTGTAAAAACAGCAACTGAACCTGCTTGATAAACACATCTAAGTAAGCCGCCTGCATCCATGATGACCGTTTAAATACCTGAGTCTCAATCTGGACGTCTACATTCCAGGATTCGGAGTACAAATAAAGTGTTCCGTGGATGTAGTGGATGTGCAAAGGAAACATCTCCAACGTCCTATTTCTCAGAAAGTATGTGGCATGGCGGAAATCATGCTCAAGCAATTGCTTGCTTCCCATAGCATGTTTGATACAATGGTGGAAATGACACCCAATATTGCAGAAGCTTCGCATGGCAAGCCCTTTCTTTGCCCATCCATCTTCTCCGCCAAATACAGCATTTTGCAGTACCCTTTGTTTGCGCACCAGTAGACTAGGCATATTCTCAACTAGGTCCCGCAGTAGAGAGGTTAGAATAAGGGCGCCCACTTTTTTTCCGGAGTTGTTCAGGACGTCGAATTTGGTAGGGGAGCCGAAAACCCCCAAAAAAATGGTGAGATTAAGGGCACCAAGCTGGGGGACCTAGTCAAACAAAGGGGCGCCGCAAGCGGAGAGGGCCGCACAGGTCTTCTTCGCGAAGCGTCTGTCGGCGCCTCCTCCAGTCGCAAGGGCCCCGCAGGATCGATGGCGAAGGCTTCGTCGGGCTGATCCTGGCCGTGGCTGTGGGTGTCAAAAAATTGGTACCCGAATGGCTTGCCCGGGTGAATGGAGACATGGACTAAAACCTGTGGCTTTTCTGGTGGTTGAATTTTGAGCCATACCCATTTGAGTCAGAATCAAAACCCGGTATTAACATGCTACCCAGAACCATGTTTCAAGAATTAAGAAGGCGGATATCCGCAGCTATTTATGGCTAGGATTGTCCCTTGCTTATCTTCATCTACCCAGGTTTGGATTGTGGCTCATTTGGGCTGTCAAGCAAAATGCCAAACGCAAAACGCCGGGCCCACTTATTCAGGCACTGCATTCACGACGATCATGAGCCACAGCCCAAATTTTGCCGCTTGTCGCTGTGGAGGTGCTCACTGCTCCATATATAACTTTGCCCCGCCAGGCTTGAATCATACAATTGAAGGCCGGAAAATGCCAAACATGCCAGCCAAAATCTCTCCTGCGCAAGGAATAGCTTGAATAGCTCTTCACCAGGAGTGCGTGCAAGTGTTTTTGATTGTTTTGTGTCTGCATGTGCGCAACAGCTGTCCATGTCCCCAATTGTGCGTGAGAAAACAGCCAAGGCCAATATGATCCATTCTTCCATGCCATATGGGTGTGTGTGCGTGTGTCCTTTTTTTGGGCACCCCCACCCCCCCAACATTGCGGTCCCCCTGTTGGTTTCCCTTTAAAGCCACCCAACAAAACCGGCACCCTCCAATAAAAAGAGCGACCCGCCCCCCAAGACGCGCCTCAAGGTCCACCTCGGGCGAACTGGCCACCACCTGCCGCTTGGAGTCCACTCAGTGGCTCCCAAGCCCATGGTTTGCAGCACGGAAAGAAAGAACTCTGCGCGTCATGGCAAGGGGCTCCCAAATTTAGAGACAAAAAAAAACGTTGGTCTACTTGCCAGGTTCCATTTTTCCCTAGGTGCCTTCCATTTCCATTCTTTCTAGGGATCCGAATCTTTCTAGAAAACCTCCAGAATTCCAGGGAAAGCGGCTGTTGTTCGAAAAGGACGATGGTTGAAAAGAACGGGGAATCGACCCTAGAAGAATACGCCAAGGCGTCTCTTAAGAAATGCGGAATTGTGAAGCGGCAAAAGAGGAAGGAAGGAAACATGCGCAGTAGCATGAATTCAGAAAGGAAACTCCGACGACCCAATGGACATGGCTCAAATTTCAGAGTCAGACCGCAAACTTGAGTCTACTTCTACCGTTTCACCCTGCACTTGTGGGCAGCGCGACTCCTCTGTCTTCCACGCGTGGCCGGCCGTCCAGCGCCCCGCCGCCTCCACGCCGCGCTTGGCCCTTCTCGCGCGGAAGTGCGCCGCCAAGTCCAGGCCTCGGGAGCCCACCTGAGCCGCAAACAATCTCGCGGAGGTGCAGGTAGATGGCTCCTCTTCGTTCAGGGTTTTGAACTTCCCATTGCAAGGCGGATTCTCAGCTTTTTGTTCGGGGAGGGTTATAGTAGACAGTAGAGTTATTCCTAAGATGTCATCCATTCCTAAGATGTCATTCCTATTCGGCGGAGTTTCAACTCTTTTTTTCGGGGTTCCTTGAAAACATGGCGGTTCCCTTGAATTGGGAAACCAACGGGAGAACCGCCATTCATGCGTTATGAGTGCTCATTCGTGTCTTTCTTCAGGGTTCCCTTAGTTCGTCCCTTTTTCGAGGCTTCTCCCCTTGACTTGAGAACGGGGTGAACGAAAGGTAGCACGTGAGGAATGGCTGACTGAGCCAACCTCTGTGCAACACTAGATGTGCAATTTGTGAATTGTGGCTTTCAAGGGAAACCAACGGGAGAACCGCCATTCATGCGTTATGAGTGATCATCCGTGTCTTTCTGTCAGGGTTCCCTCAGTTCGTCCCTTTTTCGAGGACTTGAGAACGGGGTGAACGAAAGGTAGCACGTGAGGAACAGCTGACTGAGCCAACCTCTGTGCAACACTAGATGTGCAATTTGTGAATCGTGGCTTTCAAGAAAAACTAGCGAGAGAACCGCCATTCATGCGTTATGAGTGCTCCGTGTTTCGCCCGGCAGCCAGTCAGCATGCAGCAAAATGACTCAAGTCTCCCAGGTCCCAGACCGAACACGCAAGTGGACCCCGGCATTTTCGCCAAAGGCACGGCCGTCAAGAGCTTCTTCTGGCCTTGCCGGCAGTTTTCGCACCGCACAAGTCCATCTTTTCGGCACTTGCCTCAGGCCGAGCGACACGAGATGCGAGCGTCTTCAGCAAGTGCTGCTTGGAACCTTCGATAGCAGCTTTGGGGCGGGTAAGTAGCAAGGCACAGAGTCCTGAGGTCCAACCAAACTGGGAAAGCGGTGATTTCTGGATGCAAATCTTGCATTCGGTCCGAAAATGGCCCATGTCCAACACCTGAAAGTGTCTATACGTGTCCTCCAAACCATCTAGTCTCGCCAATAGATAATATATGTGAGCAACTTCTCAGGAGCCTCTCGTGTAACCACTTGCCTGCCATGCCAGCATGAACCTTCACCGCCTCAAGGTCGCAAAAATATCGCTTTGTAACTGTGCGCCGTGCCAAGGGCTCTTTGATTGCGGCTCCCACAAAATTCACCAGGAAATGCAAGCCACGGAACCAAACAAAACCGGTCCCGCAAATACCTCCGGCAAGTTCCATCCGGGCGGCGCAACTCCTCATGGGCTCCGTTGTGCGCCGGATCCTTGGCACAGCGAAGGAGGGGAGGTGTTACCCCCAGCCACTTGAGCTCGGATCCCGAGAAAAACTCGGGTCTGCCATCTCGTCAATTCTGCCGAGTCATGCCACAGTCTCTCTCAAAGTACCGTGTATGGACGAAATCCATTTCGCACCACTTTGAAACCATGGGAAACCAGTGTTCGTTGGAATTTACAGGAGAATCATCATTCCAGGGTTTCTTAGGTCCATCCACAGTATTTCCTCCCAGACTTTGAACAAGGGCCATTGCTTAGCTTTTTTGACCTCCCGGCCTCGCAAGCCTCGAAGCGCGGCTTGCTCTTGCCTGTGCGGCTGGGGTTCGGCTGGGCTTCGGCAGCCCTGGTAGACTGTTGCGCGTCGCGAAAGAAACCAAAGAACTCCAGAAGGCCTAGAAGGGCGGGGCAGGGGGAGGGTAAAGCGAAGGGAGGGGAGAGGAGGGGGAGAGGGGGAAGGGAGGCGAAGGGGGAAGAAGTGGAGGGTCAGGCGAAGGGTGGCGGGAGGGACGGGAGAGCGAAGGAAGGAGAAGTTGGGGGGAGAGAGAAAGCGAGAAACACAGAGAGCCAAGTGAGAAATCACAAACAATTTGTAGGACGTATTCTCAACGACTCAACGCATCTCTGAGCAAGAGATGAGTCTCAACGTGTGCGTACCCCAGCGTCCGCCATGACCTCCCCCCACCCCACCCCCCCATCCCCCCCACCCCTTCCCCCACCCTTCCCCTCCCACCTGCCTGGCTCCGATTCCGGCTGCTCCGCCGGACGCTTGCGGCCAGGCATGAGGCGCTCTGAGCGCGCGCGCGCGCGCGGAGCTCTCGTCGCCCCGGAGCTCGGTGCTGTGCTCGCAGCGGTTGGATGCGGCGGGCCGGGTCTCGAGTGCCACTCATGCATTGCATCCTCATGTTTGCCTTCAAGCAGAGAAGAGGTTTGATGGTACTGACTCGAGATTCCAGATTCACCCTCCTGGCCTATGCTGTTCGTTCACCACACCAAGCTTGCACAAATGATACAGCAATCGCCACGAGCCAATATAAACACATTCAAAGAGCGAGTGACGCCCGCATTGCCATAGGAATTGATCACCACGATGCAAATATAGGCCACGGACAAGAATTGGCACTCGCAACTCAAAAAAGGCCTGACTCCTGATCTGCAGAGTTGGCCCATGCTGACCATGAGTTCCCCTATTGCAGCCATCATTCTGTTTCACGTGTCGATAGTGAAGGTTGTGTTGAACGCTTGCATTGACTCCTCACCATTCCGTTGACAGAATTAACACAACAGGAGTCACCGGATTCTTTGAGTTCCCTTCTATGTATTTTGCTACAGCTACAGTTTTTGTCCCATCATGTAACCAGCCCTGGCTTTTGGCACTGCGTTGAACGACCTCTTGTCTACATACTGTGGATGGACGAAATCCTGCACCACCTAAGAAACCCTAGAATGATATGCTCCCCTGTAAATACCAACAAACAAAGGGTTTCCCATGGTGTCTTGGGTGGTGCAGGATTTTGTCCATCCACAGTAGTTGGGCCGCACTTCAACAACCCATAAGCAGCTGTCACGATGCCGGCCTGGGAGTTGTAGGCAGTGGCCACAGCCTACGAGAGGAAGCCAAGCCAAGTTGAGTTGAGCGAGTGATCTCTGCTTCACGCACCGACATGTGGCCGTGGGTCAAAAGCCAAATCGTACCCCCAGTGAACATCCCAATCCAACCACTAAAATAGGTTCTAAAATGGGTGGTGTGGAGAAACTCTAGTGCTACCTTCCATTTGCACTCTTTCCAGGGATCCGAATCTTTCTAGAAAACCTCCGGAAACCCAGAGAAACGGATTTGGTTTTCGAAAAGAACGATGGTTGGAAAGAATGGGGAATTAACCCTTAGAGAAACCAACAAAAGATATGCTAAAATGTGCCTGCACTGCCAAGCTTGCTGCGTTTGTCAATGTTTCTAGGACGCACGCTACGCCAAAAATGGATATTGGATATACTTGGAGCTAGAGTCATCGGTCCGAGCTCTCGTGAAGTTTAAAGCAACAAAGGCATTGGGTAGCAAGTCACTAGCTCAAAACGTGCTTACGAAGACCACACTGAACGTGTGCGAAAGGCACAACCTGGTTCTCGCCTAGTTCTCGCCTTTTCACCAGTTGGTCCCAAGACTTGCAACTACCTTTACAAAGTGGTCTGGCCGCACCCAAGACCTGTCCAACAACAAGAGTCTTGCTCAAAGCCACCGCACTCAGGATGACTTTTCCACCACATCATCTCTACAGTTGTTTCTTGCAATACCCCAAACATATGTTCACACCGACCGCACTGCGCCAAACATCCTATACCCCAATCATCTACCACACCATTATACCCCAAACATGTTCTCACACATAGACCAGACCAACCAACCCGACTTTGCCACCACGTCATTTACAGCGTTTCTTGCAACACCCCAAACATATGGCTGTGGCTCAAAATTAAACGATCGGAGAGACAAACCGCAGGTTTTGGTCCATGTTTCCACTTACCAGGGCAACCCATTTTGGAATTCCGGTTCTTCGCTGTGGGTCGAAAATAGGTACCCAAAAAGGAACCCTGGTAGAAGGAAACATAGACTGAAATCTGCGGTCCATATCCTGGTGCATGGTTTAACTTTTACCTTTTGGTAGTCAAAATTGAACCACCAGGACAGGGACCGCAGATTTCAGTCTATGTTTCCATTTATCAGGGGTCCATTTTGTTCACATCAGGCCAGACCAACCAACCAACCGACGCCCGACGCCCGATGCCCGACGCGAACCGAACCGCGAAGCGAACGTCGAGAGGCGCGCCTCCATCAGCGCCGCTGGGCTGCCGTGGCGCTCGGCCACCACCTTGGCGATCTCCTGACGAAGAGCAAAGGATGGAGGGCCGGAAGTGATGTGGATGGACGCGAAATCCAGAAAACGCACCACCTAAGAAACCCTGGTTTCTGATGATTCCCTTGTAAATACCAACAAACAAAGAGTTTCCCATGGTGTCTCGGATGGATGCGAAATCCATAAAGCGCACCACCGTTCAGAAACCCTGGAATGATGATTTGATTCCCCAACGTAAATACCCACAAAGAATGGCTTGACGAAATCTTGCACTTTGAAACCATGGTTGAAACCATTACGTTTGTGGGTATTTACGTTGGGGAATCAAATCAGAAACCAGGGTTTCTGAACGGTGGTGCGCTTTATGGATTTCGTCCATCCACAGTAGATGGCCCCGGTAAGTGATAGGCCTCCCTGGCAAATGGAAAAATCGATGGCCCTTATTTTTTTGGAGAACAATTTAGATGTTCCTTTTTGTTGCTCGGAAATGGAAGAAAACCCATCTAAACCAGTGGAACCCATCTAATTCTAATCAAACTAAGAAGGATACCTATGACAAAGAGGTACATGTCTGGGCCCAGGTTAGATCAGGGCTCCTCATATTTCCCCTTAAAACATCACCCCCATCAAGGGACACTCACCTTTCATGGTTTAAAACCACCCAAAAGGGAAATAAAGAGACCCCTCTGCTGCGTGTGGATTTTTGGAAGGACCCCTTTCCGGGGTTGGCCGAACGCTTGCCGCCAAGATATGGATGATGTATGGCAATATGCCGTGTTGACGTTGGAAGGGGAGTAAAAATTTAAATTCTAGCAGTTAAGTGGGGATTTCAACCACTAAAACCACAATAAGCAAAAATGCAAAGTGTTTCCCAACAACAACCATGAATATGCCATGTTGATAAAATAATATGCAGCAGCCCTGAGCCAAAACAAGCATCGCTGTGAGATGAGGCTCATGCCCTCCTCAGCCTGATGCAGGGCACAGGCACCCACCTTTTCCAGCACAAATGATCGTAGCCTTCAGAACCTTCACACACAACTTGCGCTAGCGCTTGTTCGCATCTTCTCGTGTTGAGTTTTGGTTTAATTCGCTGATTGCTAGTTCAGGATCCTTACATTATACACCTGAACATTGCCTTGTAAATGGTGGTGTCCCTTTGTTTTGGGGAAAAAGCCGTGTTTCAAATGGGCAAAATGTATCGTTTAAGGAGCCTTGTAGTTTCTGTCGCAGTTTTCATGAACTTCTTAAGCGGTGGTTGGCCACCATCTCGTCCCATGTTGGTTGCATGGAAAACGCTGGTGACATTAAAAACGCTAGAAGCAGATGAACCTCCCGTGCGCCTCGGACACTCCTGGCACTTGCATCAGCTGCGATATCCAGGTCGTTGCAAGCCTGCCAAAAAGCCAGATAGGGTCTGGCTATGTTGGCATCGTATTCAACAGTTGGTGCCTGGAATGAACTACTGTACACGCAAGCACGGGTTGCACAGCGTGATAGTTGTCCGAGTGGACTTCAGCTCTCATCAATAGAAAGAGTACAGGGCTCTTTGAACCTCTCAGCAACTGGTAACATGAGGAAGTCGCTTTTTCAGCCCTATGAACCAAGCCGAGTGGTGCTCACTGCAGTGACTCGATGTGGAGAAACAGTCAAAGTAGGTCTGTCATCAAAAGTCGGAACTATTGCAGGCGAGTCCCTTGTATGACACCATCATACCCTGGAAATCAGGCTTCAGCCATGTTACTTGTCGAAAACTCGGAGATCAGCTGAAGCGTATAAGCATACACATGACATGTTGCTTTTTAGCTAGCGATAATATCAGGCAAGCGCCAACTGCATGAGGCCAGCATTGCAGACAGCAAAAATGACAATGGAACAAGAAGCACAGCCTGTAGCTGATACATGCCATCGGTCATACTAGCAGTTGTGGCATCTGAGCATCCATTTAAGGCCATGATGAAGCAAGAGAAGAAGGCACGGTAGTGCCTGTAGAATGCTGACACACTCTAACCTGGGCTGCCCTCAGATCCCCCGCTAAAAGTTTAACTTTGAGTGGGTTAAACGGAAACTGCCACTAAACACTAAAAGGCTAAAAAGCTAAAAAGCTAAGGAACCGGATGGCTGGGAGCCACCAAGTAACGCATGGTCTTGGTATTGGAGGTAGCATGTCCCTCTGCATGCGCATCTGTTGATTCAATTTGACAGCAGAACAAAACGTCCACTAACCCGAAACCACTACGCAAAGGAAATGATGTCAGATGCGATCGGAATTTGTGGACGTTCCTGGATGTGCAGCATCTCACCAGAACCAGGGAGCATGCTTCTAACTGCAACATTGCTGAGGCCGCTGCCAGGCTATAGTCTTTATTAAAAAAGCGAACTGACAAACAAATGCATAGCAAAATGGACGAAACACCGTAATTATCTGGCTGCGGGTCAAAACCAATGGTACCATTTTGGGGTAGGTGCACCACCCATTTTAGAACCTATTTTAGTGGGCATTGGGATGTTCACTGGGTACGGGATTTTGACCCATGGCCATCTATCAGCCTGCTGCGGTTTCATATGAACGTGTCATACCAACATAGCATGCCATCCAAACCAGCAACTAAGGGACAGCTGAGCAAAGCAGATTACATGCACCTCCTTGCGAGAAAGACCAGCATCCCTGGCATCAACTCTATAGGGTACGAGAGATTGATAGACTGGGACGGGATTCCTTTTGACGTGCTTGGATGATTGAGAGCGGAGTCGTGATCTGATCTGATCTGCACAGAAGTGCTAAGAAATGCCGGCACAATGACAAGGGCTGCAGCAAATCCTTCAACCTTCAACATGGGTAGTGTGGACATACGTTGCTCACCTCCGGCCTGACAAAATCTGACTCAGGAACGGTGCCACTTCTGCTGCGCACCAGCCCAGCCTGTCTTTCGGATCCTTTGGCACAGTCTGACACCGAACTCCAGCAACCTGCAAGCCGGACGAGTCATCGGCTTCAAACCGCCTACGACCGCCAAAAGCATAAAAAAAGAAGAAAAAAAAAGATCTGGCTGAGGTGCCTGGCTGATGTATGGATGCTACGGGGTAGATTGCTTTGGGCTCGGAAGTCTGGGCTTTCAGCGGGTGTCTGGAGTTGGGTTCAGTAGGCTTAAGTGGAAGGAAGGCTTCGGAGGGTGGGGTGCACGAGGGAGGCGTCTGTTGTTTTTGGGGGAGGTTCACTTCGACTCCTTCCTGGAGGAGGGAATTGCAAGACTTCACCGCCTGGGGTGGTGGAACATGGATCAAAAACACACTCCCCCCAAAGAAAAACATCAAACGCGTCCACTCAGACTCTGCGAAGGGGATGAGAAAGTACAATAGCGCTACCAGTCTACCAAGCTTCAAAAAAGGGTTGCAGAATTGGCGTGCGCCATCGATACATCTTCGTGTTTTTTCACCTATCTGTGGAGATGTCATTACTGTAGAGAGCGGGGTGAAACACTGCAGGTTCGGGCATCACCGCGGTTTGGGCACTGCCCACTTGAAACTTGATCTTGATGCCAAGGCCATCCCCGTCTCTCATGCCTTGTTCGTCTTTGGCGCGTGAGGGTGGCTCTTTATCCACCTTTGCCATGCCGAGGCCTCCATTTCATCAGCTCCCCAGGTGGCTGGGTTGCCTGCCCCATCCAGCTTGAAGCCATACTTTGCGTAACATCTCACGGCCCGACTGTTCGCTTCCAGCACCGAGAGCCCGGTGGTGGCACACTTCCAGCCGAGTTTGTGACTGTAGTCCTCAGCAGCTCGGATGAGCATACCACCTAGACCTTTGCCCTGATGAGCGGAGTCCACCTTGAGGTGGGAAATGCTCAGCTTTTGCTCATCCTTCTGATCCATGCAATGCACGTATCCAGAAATCTCGTTGGTCGCAAGGTGCACCAGCGAGAGCGTGAAGTGCGTGGGGTTCTGCCCCGACAGCACAGCTTTGATGGCATTGATCGGGTCGTGAGGAGGTTTTACAGTGTCATCGATGACACCCACGTTCCTGCACCAGCTATCGTGAGCCACATCTGCAAACCACTTCTTCTTGACAAGCAGCTCCGCGTGGTCCACTACAAAGTGCTTCTCTGACACGCGGAGCCGGGCCGCACAAGCCACGGGCGTCTTCACCACGGCGTAGCCCCCGCCACTGTGGATGAAGTCCTCGGGCGTGGCTTCAATCTTGCCGCCCTGCACGACCTCGCCGGCCGGCCACTCGTCAGCCCAGTCTCGCAAGGCCTCCAAGGGCGTGGCTGCCACCCTTCGCCGCTTCGAAGGGGGGACAACAGACACAGCTGCGGAGACTGCGGCCGGATCGATCGGGGTGGAGGAAATCTCCTGGGCCTTCCGCTTGCGGGAGGTCACCTCTTCCTGAAGTCTCGGAGCAATCTCCTTCGCTGCGACCTGGACGATGTTCCGGCCCCACCGGTTCACCACATCCAACCGTGATCGGCCGATCAAGGTCAAAGCAGTGTCAAGGTGCGCGCGGGTGGCGGCATAAAACAACGCTGTCTCGCCGTTCCGATCAACATGGTTCACATCTATGCCTTGCTGCACCAAATAGGCGCAAGTCTTGGTGTGGCCCTGCCGCGCCGCGTAGTACAGCGCAGTCTGCTGATACTCGTCCACCCAGTGCAGTGTGACACCAAATCCCACTAAGAGCTTGCACAGGGCCAAAGCCTCAGCATCCTGCCCTTGCGCTCGAGCGCACGCAAAGAAGAGCGGCGTCTGCATGGTGGGCTTATAGCATGAGGTCAGATGGGCCATGGGCGCATCTTTCACAATCTTCAGGGCTATGGCGACCGGCTTGTCCCGGATGATGAAAAAGAACTCATTCTTCAACTTCTTCAGTGGTGCCATGGCACCCCAACACAAAACAGAAACAGCAGCCGGCGAGCCACTTTGGCTGCAGTTGACGAGCTGTAGCGTCAGCAATACATGTGTTTTCTTGTAGTGGGGCGACTTCCAAGTATCAGGTTCTCCTGATCAAGGGTGGTGGGGATGCATTGTCAGCGTTTGGGCTTGCATGGACGGTTCAGAAACCAACGGGGTTTGCACAAAGCTTCTCAACCGTGCGCTTTGCGGGGCCGAGAAAGCTCTTCAGAGGGAAGGTGAGCTGGTTTGAGGTCGCTCGAAACAAGATATCCAGCAACTCAACAGTTACAGTTGTGCGATGAACTCAATCCTCCTGCCGCATTAGAATCACGATAACGCAGCCACAATGCACCTGCCACGTTTCACAAGCGGCTAAAGACCATGGATCCCCCAACCATGGAAGGTCAGCGCCGAGGTAGTCCCATCCTCCACGCGGATCTTGTGAATTCTGCCCTTCATTTCAGACTCAGGTGAGGGAAGTCCCTGTCTCCTCCCCACATCATCTGGCCGGGTAAATGGAAGGCCTAAACCTGCAGTCCATATCCTGGTGTCTTTTTGGCCCATACCCATCGTTTCCATAGATGGCAGGACCTGATGCAACGGGGTCCACCCGGAAACGACTCCAGTGAACATCCCAATCCCCACTGAAATAGGAAGCCTAACATGGGTGGTGAACTCACCTACCCCGAAATGGGATCCCATTCGTTTTGACTCCAGGGTTGTGGGATCACTCGGGGTTTCTCCCCACTTCTGTGATACAAAACGAATCTCCCCCTTTTATGGGTCTGCCTTTGGGAAGCCCTTTTTGTATCACAGATTTGTGGATTCCTTTTCAACCACAAGCCTTGGAGTTCTGACCCACCCACCGCCATGAGCCCCCCCGCCTTGAAGCGCGACGGCAGGCCGCGCTTCCGCGAGGCCACCACCGCCTCGGCGCACTGCACGGCGTAGACCGCGGCCTGCTGCGGGGTGCCTGGGCGACGGGCGACTCTCGGCGCGTGGAATCCGAGTCTGGCACACGGGACCTGCGGATTGGGGGAGGGAGGGAGGGAGGGGGGAGCCCGAAAAATAAGCCCTTAATTGAGCCCTTGCGGCGCTATTCAGGGCTGATTTTCCCCCCCAGACCCCATGATGGAGTGGTAGAGGGCAAAAACCGATTGCTGTTTTTGGGCCTTCACCAGGGGAAGAGAGCATCAACTGCGCCGGGCTTGGCGCCTGGAGTCACTCACTCTGTTTGGGATCGATCAGCGTGTTGGCACTTGGTACTTGAAGCCTTCAAGCCACGAGGATCTAAAGAACTATGCATTTGGAGGCCGTGCTCCAAGGCCTTCACTCAACTTGCCTTGTCACCTACATTTCTGGGCTGTGATCAGATCCCCCTGCAAAAAATGTAACCGTTCGTGGGTGAAAGGGAGGGGTCGGCTGGGAACCACCTACATGTCTGACGTATCCCATCAGCTTCTCCCCCGTCCGTTGGACCCCTGAAAGTCCCCTTCGGACTTGGGCGGCGGCGAAGCTCCACGAAGTTCACAGCAGAAGTCACGAGGCCCTACCCCCCAAAGCTCGCGAAAGGAGCCCGGAGTGCAACCCGGATCAACGCAGTTGGGAAGACTTGAAGGTCCTTTTGCGTGCTCCGGAACACCCCTCTCCCCCCCAGCATGCTGTATAGGTGATGGTATACTCTCCACTGTGAGCCGGCAAAGCACAAACTGCCAAAACTTGAAGATGCCTTGTCAAAGAGCCCATGCTGCTTCACCCCTCTGAGACCGTCTGACCGACCCGAAATCCGAAATCGTCGCCCCCTCCATTTGGCCAAACCACCCGCTGGCCTCTGCCAGTGCCTGAGCACCCTGGCTGGCCAGGGAAGGGGCCTTGGCGCCGATGAGCACCAGCAACAGCCGCGCCTGGGCCCGGCAAGTCCTTTGAGCCTCTCGGCTTCTGGCGGCATCCGACCAAAGCCTTGCTATCGCAAGTCACACACCCCCTCCAAGCTTCTTCCCACAGGAGAGGGTATGGAAATGCCTCTTGCATGGGAAGGGAAGGGAAGGGAAGGGAACCCAATTTGAACCTGATGCACAAGTCTCGCTATGTCAACATGGCAAAGGGTTCTATGTGTTGATATCCCGTGCTGCCTGCATTCCAAAGTTAGCAACAAATCCAACATGTCCAAAAGGTCATGGGAAACTCAGGCGACTACAGATCTAGCTCGCCGGCTCAGTTGAAGAATCTAGCTGAAGTAAGATGTCTTGCTGCAGCTTCTACACATGATCAGATGGAGAAGGTGCACATGTGGGTTCCCCAGTCAAGTTGGAATGTCCCTTGACTTGTCGGCGCCATTCGGCTGTCAGCTCGGCTTCAAACCAAAGGGTTGAGCTTGCTTGCCTAGCAACACCCATAAACTCAAATCGTCTACCTCCTTGTCATCAGGCCACGCATCTAAAGCGAGCCCGGTCATGAGCATTCTGCCAGAGGCTCTCCACAAACATGATACCCAAAAAAACGACTGGCCACCCATGTATGAAACGCCCAACATGTCTTGGTCAGAGAGCTCCGCCCTGGTGAAAGCAAATGATCACCTCCACCGGCCCGGACCCAACTGGTCAAGCGAAGGCACACCCCGGCAGTGCGCGGCTTGGCTGGGCCACCTCGAAATATCCGAGCGATGTCCCGCGTCGTCACACATGGATAGGTCTCGCCACGTGAGCAATGCGTTAATGCAAATGAATGAATACCACTTGGTTGCTGTTGACCCCTCTGGAAACAGTTTCTTTTGTGGGTCCAACTCAGAAAATCCGACCTTCAATCAAACAATTGAAGTCCAGATAAATATAATTTAAAAAAAAACTGCCAAAGATGAAGAAACGTCTAAAATGGAGCCGGAGAAAATGGCCTGCTTTTGTGTGCACAAACTGCAGAAGAAACCTTGGCTGGAATTAGGACCCAAACCAAAAACTCTATTTTTGCCTGGTGAGTGGAAAACAAAGAACCCCCCCCCCCCCCAAAAAAAAAAAAAAGCAAAAAAAAAAAGGGAACTAAGCCGGGGGAAGAGAAACCGTCCGAAAGTTGTCCCAAATGAAGCCCCAGTCCATGAATCGGGGGGAGTATCCATTTCTGGGTTTAGTGGTTGGAATCAGACCACTGTTGGAGGGGAACACCCCCATAATAAGCTGGTTGGTTGAAAAATCCGTGTCAAAGCCCGTACCTCCAGTGAGCATCCCAATCCAACCACTAAAATAGGAAGCTTCCAAAATGGGTGGTGCACCATGGAAGCCTAAAATGTGTGGTGAATTCACCATCCCCCCCATAATAAGCTGGTTCGTTGATTAATCCCAATCCCCACTGGGCCACAGGCCACTCTGCCAGCAGCTGCGCAGCCCCCGCCGCGCTGGCGAAGGCCAGCGCTGCAGGGCTGCGGGTGCCCAGAGTGGGGAAGGCCTCCTGCCCGGATGGAGCCCAGAATCGCTGGTGACCTGGGGACTGGGGAATGACATCAGCACTGGGGAAGCGGAAAGCCCAAGTTGTGGGCCAACTTGAGCTTCTCAACGCCGACCTGGCTGTGGGTCAAAAATGGGGTAACCCCAAAGTGGCTTGCCCTGGTAAATGGACCCATGACTCAACTCGGTTGCCTTCTGCTGAGCTAAGAGACTCACTTTTGGTGGTTTAATGCGGAAAACCCATTTGTTGGCAAAAAGTTAAAGTCCTGACATCCAAGCAAAATGCACCAAAGAGAAATGGAATGAACCGTTTTGGGAAACCCCCCAAAAAAAGGAAACCACCAAGTTATGGTGTCAAGGAACCCAAAAAACATGTCCACTCGCCGAAATTGAGGTTGAGATTGGGGTCAGGCCATGTGTGATACATCTAGACCAAACACTTGCAACGGTGCGATAAGTGATGAGAAGATGAACCGTCTTGAGATTCCCGAATAATGGAAACCAAATCGGCGACGGTAGGGGTGAACCCAAAAACTTGCATCGGTGCGATAAGTGATGAGAAGATGAACCGACTTGGGATTCCCGAATAATGGAAACCAAATCGGGGATGGTTCATTGGGGTCGTTCCCTCAACTACTTGCTGGTGCGAGATATGCAGAGAATGAGCGGTTTCCTTTGAGGGGGCCAAAGCCTGGGTTCGTTCCCACATTCCCTACCGCAGCAGCAAGAATAACATGGAACAGGACAGCCGTAGCATTTCTAGGTCCAAAAGATGTATGCGCATGCTCCGACTCAACGTCACACACCATCTGCTAATTCAGAAACAAGGCTTGTCACAGGAAAGCTGCCACAATGGATAGAAGATACCTCCCACCAGTGGGTCAATCATGACTGGCTTGCAAGCAGTGTCTGGACGGCTGCAGTTATAACACGATTCCTCCTGGGGCAAAAAACAACAGCCGTGTCGTACACGCTGACGACATTGGCATGCTCATCAACATACTTTATACGTGAACTTTGTTTTATGTTGTTTGCACTCATTCCTCACCGAAACTTGAGGTTGGGGTAAGGGAAGCGCGGCCCCTTTCCCGCTAGCTGTTGTGCCACGCTGCCCCACAGGAAGCGAAACCCATTGAGCTAGTTCTTGACACGTCCAGGCAACAAATGGGTGTGTACCTTCTTCTTCTTCTTCTTCTTCTTCTTCTTCTTCTTTTTTTTAATGGCGGCTGTCCTTTTTTGGTGTCCTTTAAAACCATCCCAAAACGGGTGCCCTAGACCCAGATGTGTCAATCAGTTTCAGGGCGTCTGATTGATTGGGTCAACAGGTCGCGTCCTCTGCAGTGCACACGCTCCAATGCGACACGTAGTCAAAGTCTGTCTCTAAAAGCACCTTGGACGCATGCGGGTGCCTTGCTCTGCGGGACTGGCCTTCTCCCCCGGCCGAGTTACACAGATACACGCTCTACTGGCCCGAACAAGTGGCCAGCATGCCGTCTATCTGTCAAAAGCACCCTGGCATTCCAGCACCAGAATAAATCCTAAGGTACATATCTGGATTCGATAGGGTGCAGCCGACTAGAAGCGAACTAAGCTTTCTGAGAAGGAGATGGTAAATGCTACTTCTTTGATATACGTTTGCCCCCTGCACATCGACATCCCGAGAATGCGTGTAAGTAGCATCTTGCCCTTTGACATTCCAATGCACTTACACGCATACCACGACTTGCTTTGACATCATGGCAGGTCAAAGCGACCTGTCCTCAACCCCGCTGCTCAAAGGCTTCAATTTACAGCTGAACCAAAACCATACGAAGCAAGCGGAATCCGGGCATGCCGCCCAGGGAAGCGGTGCCGCCGCGCTCTCCATGTCTTCCAAGACAATACGACCTGCTTTGGTCAATCAAGGAAAGCACAGCACCTCGACTGTCAAGTGCACCTATGTGACGCGGAATAGCCGTAAGCCATAGCGGGTCATGTATGCTCTTCTGGCTTCTGATGGCAGGAAATTAGCACTACTTGGCACTACCTTGGCCCGTTCCTTTGACTTCCAAACCGGGTGGTGGGATCGCTCGGAGTTTATCAACCCCGAGTGATCCAACCACTTCTGTGCTACCAGAAGGAATCCCCTCCAAAAATATGGCGGGGTTAGTCTTTGGGAGTCCCTTCTTGTATCGCAGAAGCGGATTCCATTTTCCACAGCCCCGCTTCCAAATGATCGCCTTCCGCCACCTCCTGGAGGCTCCGCAGCAGCGGCTCCCGCCGCAGCTCCGGGGAGAGCCGCAGCTTCGCCGACATCGGCGCAGCAGCCCAACGAAACCGCAGCCAAAGCGCGGCTCTGGTGGAGGAAACCGGGGAGGGGCAAGAGCTTGGAACATGCTTCAGCAAATGGCTCAAATGAGTAAGAAAGGCAAGGAGGTTCACAAAAGCCTTAAAGTGCTGGGCTCCTCTTTGGACTTGCGCCGTAGCAGCAATGGGCGCTGATTCCAGATTCGTCCATAGAGTGGGTTTCTGGAACCAAGGATAGCATGCAAGTCTGCAACTCATGTCATATCTGCTAAGTGCTTGTCTGCACACATCTTGAGCCTCATCAAAAGAATTCGGATCAAAGGCTAATCACACACTTTGCAGTCCTTTTTGCAGCGAACCTGTGGCGCGTTTCATCGAGTCCATGGCAAAGATAGCAGCTTTTACAATCAGTGGACTTGCCTTGCAGTATCGCCAGTTCAACGACGAGAATGGAAGGAACATGCGCGGATCATAAAGTATGTTCACAAGCTTTGCAAATTACCCTTTCTCCCACTAACATGGCACCTGTGGGAGGGTATCTGGAAGATCAGTTTCCTCTTGGCAGGGACCCCTGTGAGGTGCCATGTTCGTGGGAGAGAGGGTAAATTTGGACCACAGGTTCAGCTAGGGATGACGCGGTAATGCAGCCACCTTCGTGTGATTCAAAATGACCTTCGCGGTCGGCATCCAGCGATCCAAAAGTGCAAGCCGCAAGAAGTCACAACACTCTTTGACGCACTGAAGACACGCTAGCTGCCACCAAGAAAGCTCGGTGGAAAGCCAAGCTTTCTTCGGTACCCTCCTTGCTGGAAAAGCGTTGCTCTGCTTCGAGTCAAAGACAGCGACATGTGCTGGGAAGCTCTGGGGCTTTGCCCCTTCAAGGCTTTGGCATGCCGATGGTGTGACAAGGTCTCAAAGGCTCAGCGGGCTCAGCGGGCTCAGCTCGCTCAGCTCATCGCCTCGCCCTGCCTGAAGAAAGCTCTTGGAACACGCAGACCGTCGCATATGCACCGTGCGGGCTGGCAAAAATCAAAGCTACCGCCGGCGGCTGCCTTGCTTTCTTGTGCTAGTTGGAATGCAAGTTTCGAAAAATTGGTTGAAGAGTCGAACCGATGTCCAAGTATTCAATATCAGCGTGAAAGGCTCACTATCAACTTTTTGGGAAGCCAGCCATGCCTATGATTGTTGGTGGATTTAAGTGGATTTAAGGGTGTCACATCATGGGCACATCAGAGAGTCATTTATGTCCCAGTCCCTGTGGGCGCGCACAATCCACGCATGCGCGCGCAACTTCGCACACTGCACCACAAGCTGCGATGCTTCGAGTTGAACTCTACGCATTTGGGAGTCAAGAGCTGGCAAGTTTATCCATAGTCTCTTCAGGTGATGATGACTTGGAAGCTGGGAGCCTGGTTCCGTGCGCATTCCTTAGCGAGTTTGCCGGCAGGTTGAATGATATGTTTCATCCAGGTATCTTGTTGATCATGCACCTCTGTCATTCAGACTCAAAAACCGCGGTACCACCTCTGGCTCGAGTTGGGGGGGGGGTTCAGACCCGCTAGAAAACAGCGGTACCACCTCGCACATGTGCCAGCCTCAAGTCCCTCTTCAATATGTCCATCAGGCCTACGGAACGCTCATCCCAATGGCAACAGCTGCGTGCAGGAGCTTTCCCCGCCTCGTAGCCTCCGCAAAGGCATGCACCTGACGCAAGTGACTCCAGAGGCGCCCTTGAGAAGGACGTGTGCCTTTGGGGACGCTCGGCGCTCACTAGAAATATGCAACTCGTTAGAAATGGATTTTTGCCACTGGGGCCCCAAGTTTGCGTGTTTCTGTGAGGATGTGAAGCACAGTTGAGTCACAAATCGAAAAACCCTGTATTAAAATGGCCTGCCCAGAGCCACGCTTCAAGAATTCAGAAGGCGGATCTCCGCAGCCGCCGAGCCGCAGCTAGTTATGGTTGAGATTGTCCCGCACTAACCTTCATCCACCCCAATCTGTTTTGAGCCAGTGGCTCAGCTGATCATGTGAACCGAACTGCCGCACGAACCTAGCATGCCCCGCCTGCTCCACGAAGGCGCGATTGGAGAGCGCAAACGGGCCCCGGGCATCGCGGACCTGCCACGTTCTGATTTTTGTTGGCAGCAAACGCTTGCCCCTGCCACAGCTTTGGGCGGCACTGAACCCCTCCACCCCTCCCCCCCTCCCTCCCCCTGCCCAGCAAGCCCCTGCCATCTGGCCGACTTCCGACGGATGCGAGGAACTTCTGGTGGCCTTCTGCACCGCGTCCTCGGGCGTCGCGCCAGAGGCCACCAGAAAGGCCGCCGCCACGGCGCCCGCGCCTCGATGCCGCAATCCCGGGGAGAGGAGGTTGCGCAACTTGGACCAAAGCAGTCCGTCCTTCTTTTGGGTGGACACGTTGCAAACCCCCCCCCCCCCAAAAAAACAACATGGGTCTTATTGGGTTGGTCCTTTTTGTTTGGGTGGAGCACTTATTTTCGGGCGTTCAAGAGGAAACCAAAAGGAGAACCACAAATGTCCCTTGAAACCAACCAGAGAAAAACCATGGCTGCTCCGTGCTCCAGGTCGGTGCGCAAGGACTTGCCGCTTGGGACTCTTCGCGAGCAAAAACAAATGCGTGCAACCAACCTCCACTTGAGCTGAGTCGATTGAATGTCGGTCAGTTGAATTTGGGTCGCTGGCTTTTGTGCATCGGTGGCTGGGAGTACCTGACCTTTTGTCCAAACGATTTAGGTTTGACCACTGGACCCCTGTGTCGATCCGCGCTAAAACGTTTATCTCGACTAAGAAGCAGCCGGAAATGAAGCCCAGGAACGAAGGAAAGGCCGCAGTTCTCAAACAAAGAGAACACAGGTTTGGACATCCATCCGGGTCAACATGCTGCAAACGAATGACATGCGAATGGCCAGCTAGGTTCGCAACAAGTAGCGGGAATTCCCATTATGGCAGCCCTTTCATTTGTGATGGAAGTAGGCGCCACGCAATGGCAAATGATTTCCTGCCGGCAAGTTCTTTCAGACATTTCGCCAGCAGCCTGGACACTTTGCCCGGCTGAGAGATCGTACTTCCCACTTCTAGTCTTTGTATCGGAGTTCGCTCCTAACGGTGCCCTCATATCTAAAAAGTGGCAGTTGAAAGCCAGAGGCACGTATTCGTGTCTCCGCAAATAGAGAGTCTTGCACGGCCGCGGCACAAGTATGGCCACGTTGATAGGTTTAAGTTGTCTGGATTCTGGATTCTCATATGATTACTAGGGCAGCGGCGGTTCTCGCCGCGCAGGCAGTGGATAAGCACGCGCCGGCCTCCCGAGAAAGGCTGCACGGGACATCGAGCACTTGTTTTCCGGGGTGTCTTTCTGCTACCTTTCGCGAGAAAATGGGCGACCCCCTCAAGAAGGAATCCTTCACTACAAGGGGGTCGATCATTTCTCCGCAAAAGGTGGCAAAAGGACCCCACGGCTTGCTTTCGTCTCACTGACATTTGAAGAAAAGCAACGGAAGCCAGGAGCTCAGCCGTTCGGGAAGACAAAGCACCAAGTAGGATTGGATCATCAGCCGCAGTGAGTGTTTTTGTTCAAAAGCGCCAGGCATAAGTCGCCTGTTGGTGAGGGTATGGGAGAGTGAAAAAAGCCTCGGCAAGACATGGCCATGGGTCCAAATCCGTACCCCCAGTGAACATCCCAATCCCCACTAAAATAGGTTCTAAGATGGGTGGTGCACCTACCCCAAAATGATACCATTAGTCCACCGGGGAGTACGAGGGAGCGTGCGGATTCACACCGACAAACAAGAGTTCACCGTGTGCAAGCCAATTGTTGACGAGTGCCAGCAGAACTTTCTGATTCCTGCTGGTTGGGGCTGTAGATTCAGTTTCTGGGCGTTCTTTTGGCATGAACCTTACCGCCAGTTTCAACCACCCAATCCGGACCCCCTCCCCCCCCGCCCGCACCGGGCAACCCCCAAGAAACGAGATGCATTTTTGGCGGTTCCCTTATTAGAGGCAAGCCCACAACCCCATGGAAGTCCATGCCTTCCGCCCGCTGCCGCTCCAGGAAGGCACAGGCAGCGGGAAAGTGCTGACCTGACAAAACGGAGTCGCGCATTGGGCAAAGGCGGTGCTCGGAGCAACGAAAGGCGTTGCTAAGCAACTTGTCCGGGAGCGTCTTGGTGGGTGTGGTTAAAG